ATAATGTGTACAACGAGGGAGTTTTACCTTGTCTAAATTGTTGGTTATCAGGCGGCTTCCTCCCGATGCCTGGGTCTCCTGAGTGAATTGGCAGAAAATGTGCATACGTGTGTAAGAGGTGCTCACACAGCATCGCGCCACTTCCTGTCTTCCCACACCTAACACACCAGTCTACAGTAACCCATCTAATTTAATGTCATGAGAATAGCTGGTTGTGCTTGGGGTACCTCAAGTCCACCCAGCAGTGAATGGATACCTAATTTTACATTTGGGGAAAAGACGATACTGTAATCCATTTTATCATCGTCATCAATATTATTCATATAACTTTTCATTTTTATTGACAATATTACTATATTATTGTATGACCATTGATTTTTAACTAATATAACATCGGGTTATGTCAGGTAACTTGAGGATTGAGAGCTGTCTGTGTCTATCTGTCCACGTGTGACTTGTGTAGTGAGGGGTTGTCAGACCACAGCTTACATCTCAGAAACTCTAGGCCTTCCCTAGGTCAAGTGTAGGGTAACTCTGCGGTTGACCAAGGATTGTAAACCAACTAGCTCCCCCTCCCAAGTCACACATGTAAGAGGGCACCAGCCGGCTCTCTCCCAATATACACAATGTCCTACACCGCAGAGGGGGGCCAGTCTTGACCCGACATTAGGAGGGGTCAAGTGTAACTCTCACGGTGGACCAGGGGTTACAAATCAACTAGCTCCCCTCCCATGTGACATGTCACCACAACAGACATGTAAGAAGGCACCAGCCGACCCTCTTCCAATATACAATAACCTACTCTCTGAACAAAGGCCGGACCGGACCTCACAATTAGCCAGGTCAAATGTAACCCTTGGAGCCCAACTCAAGGGGGCCACAAATCAACCAGGGCCTCTCGTGTCACACGGCCCCACCTGATGACTTCTCCTTACATCTCAGAAACTCCAGTCTGACCCGACGTTTGGGAAGTCAAGTGTAGGGGAACTCTCACGGTTGCTCTCCCAATATACACACGGCCCCACCTGATGACTTTCCCAGATAGTTCTGAAAAAGTCCAGGCCTGACCGCACATTTGCGGGGTCAAATGTAAGGAGACCCTTCGCCGCCCCCCAGGCCAGCTGAACCTGACGGCTCGCATCCCAATATATAGGACGTCCTGGTCCTCCCTCGGGATTCGCAGAGAAGTAGTTGTCTTGTAACAAGGTGGCCAGCTACGACACCACCAGGCCTGCTCGAGCCGAAGTCAGAGGCCGGAGGCAAGTCGCCTCCGGTCAGGACCGAGACTTCCCTCCGGTGTCCCAGCTAAGCAGTCGCCCACCCGACACCAGTGTCCCGAAGCAGTACCAGTGTCCCAGCTAAGCAGTCGCCCTCCCGACACCAGTGTTCCAGCTAAGCAGTCTCCCTGCTAGGCCTCCCCTAGGTCACGTGAGTGTTTGTCAGAGCTTTCCATGGGATGAGTTACCTACGTGGGAAGTGTATTCATTTCATGTTCGTGTCCGAGAATCAGAGTGTCTAGTAACGTAATATGATGTCCTAGTAACGTAAATATAATGTCCTAGTAACTTCAATAGAAGGTGTTATTAATGTGTCCATGTCATGTTCGTAATTAATAAAGAGTTGTAACGAAGCAGTGTTTGAGAAGTCGCCTTTAAGAACGTAATAGATGTGTATTGACGGGTAAGACACGACCAGTGTACGATAAGAGTAAATAACTATCACGGCCACGCTACCAAAGTCTTCTCTATTTATACTCTATCTCTATATCTTCTACTCTTAAAAGTTTGTAACATTACACTTGCGTGTCTGTCTAATTGTGACTTACCTGTCTGTTCATGTGTAATTTGACTGTCTGTTTATCTGTTCAAGCGTGACTTGCCTGTCTTTCTTTCCTCAGTCGTATGACATACTTATCCATCTGTCTGTCATTGTGTGACTTGCCTCTCTGTCTGTCTACTTATCCATGTGAAATTTGTCTGTGTTCATGTGTGATTTGCTTGTCTATTTGTCTGTTCATGTGTAATTTGACTGTCTGTTTATCTGTCTTTCTTTCTTCAGTCGTCCATTAACATTCACTTCATCACAGGGATTAGACACCTTTATCACAAGTTTAGAAGACACACTAATATGACCTTTACATTTTCAATATATTTTTACTGAACAAATATCTCAATCTGCCTGTCTGTCTGTCTATCTATCTATCTATCTATCTTGTACGTTAAATAAAAAATGCCAAACTGATGGACATTTTGGTGTAGTGTTCGGCTATCACTTAAAAGTCACGACTAATAAAACACGTAAGGTTTCTTCCTCAAACTTAGACAGTCTAGACTTATATATATAGACAAAGTAAGTAACAGGTATGTAGTTTAGCGGTGTTGCATTTGTAATGTTCCTCGCACTACAAGCGACTCAGTACATGTAGCATCGCCGCACATAGACAGTGGCGGATATATAGACAAAGTACATAGTGTGGGTATACAAACAATGTACCTAAACAGTGTAGATATATAAACAATGTGGTATACAGACAATGGTAAACAGTAAAACAATCGACCAAGGATAGCCAACAAAACCATCAGATGCTTATTTCCAGGAGGGTCCTTTGCTTTACACAAGTTTAGGGAGTAAGACAATAATGAGCAGTAAATGGTTTTAGGATTAGTTCAAAGATACTGATTGGTGGATGCTGATAGGAGACATAAAACAATACATGATACATCGCTGTTAATTACTTTAAGAATGATTAAAGAATTGCCTTAATGTTTACCATTCTATACCAGCACTGTCTAGGAACATTGAAAATTGTATACCTGCACGGTCTATATATACTGCATATACAGTACCTGCATTGTCTCTATACAGTACCTGCATTGTCTCTATACAGCATGATGAATGGTATGCCTGCATTGTCTATATACAGTACCTGCTAAACTGTATTCAGTAAACCCTCCAGAGGGCTTAATTCAATGGGAAAAAGCCTAATTGGTACCGAGGGGCCACCCAGTCTCAATTTTTCCCACATGTAACCTATATTTTATTGCTGAAAGAGAATGAATACTTAGTTAATCAACATACACATAGAAAACCAACCTTTATATTAAAGTTGAGGTGTTTAATGTACACTAAGCTGGTATCCGAGTACTTTTTCATTTTCTTCCCTACTCGATACTCATGAGAATTTTGTCTGTTTTTATCCCATCATTTGAACCACCACTGCCATCCCCTCCAATACCCCCAGGTACTTTTGAGGCCATTATTCCGAGCGAGAACACCGCGCCAAGCGAGAGTAAAAAAAAAGGGACACACAGGCATAGGTCACTCAAACGAGCAGCAGGAATGTGGATTGACGCTGTCAAAATGGCTGCCTGAACAGCTGACTGGCACTTTGCGCTCGGTAAATATTCACCAATAATACTCGCCAGTAGTTTAAAGCAAGATTTATCTTACACTTATTATTCTACAATTATTAGTTGTGATTGCATTTAAATTGAAACTCTCGCCAAAGGTGAGGGTTTGCTTGCCATAATGGAGGGCAGGGTACTTTGAATTTTGACCGCCAACTTAGAATTCGCCAAACTGGAAGGTTTATTGTACAGTACAGCACCGGTACCCACATTGTTTATATACATGCTGAATTATATCCCTGCTTTATCTACAGTGTATAGACATCTTGAACTGTATATACCTGGATTGTTAATATACATGTGGAACCAATTGTAAACTTGTATTACAATTTCACTGAATATCTATTTATATACTGTATCTATCTATCTATCTAAGATCTTAAGTATTATGTGACCAAGTGAAGCCACCAACAAAACATCAGTGACAACAGCAACGAAAAAAAAAATACAAAAATCAGGATTTGAAAGAAAAATTGGAAATTGACCAACACAGACAGACATATCATTAATGATTTGAAATGGGAAGGAGACTCATAAAGAAAAAGTTAATGTTATGCTGAGAAAAGTGGTTATCTTGATGGACGAATTACACATTTCAAGTGTTGACAGTTGACACACTAGATAAGCATGCAGTACAACTAGTGAGAGTCAACTGAAGATAAAGTAAAGGTCAAGTAATCAGGGTGAGGGTACAAGGTGAGGACGAGGTTCTCTTCCCGTCCTCACACCACTAAAGACAAGAGGTAACTCACCTGTAAATAATGTGTACACTATAGCTGGAAGTAATTAATGTACAGTGGATCATTATTTCATAAGTTCATTTATATTTATTCAATCCGTCCAAGACCTGATTAGCATGGTAGTAGTGGCTAGCCTTAGTACTGGAATTTTAAGCCCTTTTTCCTCACAAAACAATGTATAATATCTCAGTCCACAAATGGTGGTTCTTGCTGTGAGGCTGGACTAGGACCTCATCACAAGGAACAACGGTGATTTATTTACAAACGATGGCTACAATTTGTTATAGGGCTGAATAGAACCTACAAATTCACCCTTCCTTTTCAATGAGGGTTTAAAACATTTATGTTTCATTAACTGTAAAATTATTTGAGAATTCCTCACAGAGTCTTCAGCAAGCCTAGGTTAGGTTAGGTTAGGCTGGAAATGAACAGACTGTATTTTCAGTAGGAGTGAAGTTAGAAATCCTCCTATTTTCACTAAATGTGAAGGACACCCTACACAGCCATATTGTTAAATTACAAAATTATACAAATGGTAAAATATATGTAAAACAGCTTAGCTTTCCCATGAGGAGCATATGTTTCTGGCGTGTAAGAGGAGCAGAGAGAACAAGGTAGATTCTGTATGTAGAGAAAGTGCAGCATTATGACTTTTCTCTCCTGGCCACCTCACAGGGAGCTTCCTCAGAGAGTGAGGCATTCTTGAATAGCATATTCTTGCTCATCAATGATCTCTTTCAATCTACTTTGGAAAATAAAGTACAGACTTACAAATAATAAAGAAAATTTATACTACCCAAACTATGAGTTTATTCTTAATGTTTGTAATATGGTTTCAAACACACACAATAAAAAACTGATCTTGGTTTATTTGGTATTTTGTCAAAAAATATTAATTGCAAAAAAATATTGACAATGAACACAATTAACTTGACACAGATAAGGTGACACATTATCTAATTAACAATTCACACAGATTCACGAGACCCAAAAGAATTCCAAGAACGTCACAACTAACCTTATAAATATTTGGAACACAAGGACCTAAAATACTGTACTGTACCAACACAAGCTTTTCCAGAAGTCTCTTATTAACCAAGCATTTGAAGGAATATATCTCAAACCATGTTTTCTAACTGTTTAGCTTATACAATTTGTAATATGAGGTCGTCTGTGTTGTGAGAGGAATACCATCATCAAGAGACATATCAAAACAGGTAAACCACCAAGATATTTTAATAACAACTTATAAAACTTTGGTTGTTTAATCAATTAGCCATATACTGTAGAGCTGTAACCATAACCAAGTTTACCAAACTGCTTTTATTTTTTCAATAAATAATTATATGTAGGAATCTTGAGTACTTTGCAGAGCTTATAGCATGTGGAGGTTGTAACAAATAAGCCACCAAGCTGTATAGCAGAAGAACTAAGTAAACAACAGGGACAAGTATACAGCACTAACTCTTATATACTGCACACCTGTACCTAAAAACTTTCAAAGTACTGTACAGTAATGATCAAAACTCTCCATATCATCAATTTCAAAATTACAGTACAGGTACTGTATTTTATTTATTTAATCTAGAAATAGCTTATCTATGCAATTGTACAAAATACAGTAGCTGTTGTATAAACTGTTAAAATTCCTTTGCCATATTCTTCACTTTAATTACATAGTAGTTATTATATACTGTACATATTGTCAATTACTATACAGTACTACCACAATGCAACTGACAAAATTTTCATTTTGGTAAGCAAGTTTCCCCAAAAAATTACTTGTTTTAGACTCTATAGTGCGTATATCATACATTCAACTAAATGCACTTCTTTATTTGTTGATCAGGTGTAGACTTTTATTGTCACTTTCTCTAGATATCTTAAAACTTTTTACTTACAGATAGTCAGAGACTTCACGGCCTTTTCTAAAAAGATTTTCAGTTCCACTTTCTTTTCACATGTCTGCATCATCAAACTGTCCCGTTTCCATGGCTTCATCATCCTCCAGGTCCCCGTTTCTTGCTTCATGACTCCCGCCTGGTGTCACCAAGCTGGGTTCTGCTGGAGTCGATTGTAACTCTAATAATGATTGTTGTTATAATACAGACAAAGACATACTAATGATAATAGCAGAATAAATGAAGGACTGAAATGTAAAATCTTACACATTACAATGAAGAAGAATAAATGAGTGACATATGAGAGCTTCAGGTTAAAATTAAACTAACCTGACCTAACTGACAAAACTCTTGATTCACACACATCATACAGTAGTTGTAACAATACTGTACACTATATAACCTTTGTTAACTTTTTCCAATAATGTATCTTAGCTTTACTATACTGTAGTGTCTCCAAAAACATATGAACGCTGCCTTACAGTGTTTTGTGGCGTTCATGTGAATGCTTGTACAGTACAGTACTGTATTACAACATTAACACTGTCCTCACTTGTTGATGTGCCAGGTCTCCCAAAATACTGTCACTCTATAAGTAATAGCATAACATGGCATTTTCAAACCAAATCTGAGGTAGTGGTGGTAACAAAATGGCAAAATGCAGCTTTTTTTTATCACCCGCCACGATGTAAACTAGATTGGAGTAAATATCTACCAATACAGTGGTCCCTCGGTTAACGAACTTTCGGGTAACGAATTACCTTCCATAAGAATATTCAATTCGGTTAACGAAATTCTTACGAAAATGTTTCGACATGCTTTGGCTTGCTCACCAGCTGGAAGATTAGTCCGCCAATACAGAAATCGGTTCTAGGGCTTACATTCGTTAAAATTGGAGTAAACATCAAGGAGGTTGTACTGTTCAATAATTTTCCAAGTTTTATATAAATTTTTTTAGTCATTTTAACACTTATTTAACATAATTGCAGTACAGGGAACTAGTTTTTGGTGCACCCAACAGCCACTTCACTCACCCACCAAGGCCTCAGTTTGTATCTCTGTTCAGTGGAGAAAACATCTTGCTTGTGGGTCTCTTGAACATAGAGTATTTTTACGTTTTTACAGTACAATTATTGGTCATTCTGAAATTTATTTAACATATTGACAATATATAGTGCAGTGCAGTGCAGTGTTGATTTAAAGAAAATAATCTTGAATTACACCTAGTGAACTTAAAATTTTATGGGTGCAATGGCAGCATGAAGCTTGGGGTGATTTCTCTTCCACCTCCACTTCATTCTCTTCTCCCTTCTCCTCCACCCCCACTTCTAAGTCCCATCATCATCATCAACCAAGAGCCTTCTACATACATACTTCAAATTAAGTGTACTTTACTGCATTTTTTTTTACTTTGTATGTAATTTTCGGTGAGCTGGAACCAATTACCCAAAATCCCATTGAAACAACAGTTTCGGTTAACGAACGACCTTCTCGAACGAATTGTGTTCGTTAACCGAGGGACCACTTGAACAGTCTAAGTGGTCACTTTCACTTCTTACAAACTGAATTTTTCACAATTTCTGCCCCCCTCCCCCCCCCAAAAGGACACCCGGTTTACCACTCTGTTTACTGAAGTTTGAATATTAAAGCAAAAAAAAAAAAAAAAAGAAGACGAACATCTTGATATTCAGTAATTCAAAACTTAAGCCATTTTTCTTATGCTCCATACTTTAGGGGTGTTGGTGTATTTGCCTCTCATCACTGGGTCCTGGATTCAATCCCTGGCCCAGGACAGTTGTGAGAAGGATGTTACCAAATGTAGCAGATTTTCTCTGAGTATTGCTGTTTCCTCCAGCACTAACATTGAACAATAAAATTCATAATAGAGTAAGATACCAACTGCCCAAATGGCTAGTAAACTGATAAGTAGTGATAATAAAAAATAAATAAATAAAAAATTAAATTAAATTAACTTACCTCCTTCCAGGGTGGTCTCATGAGATCCATACATATGGTAACCATTTTCACTCACATCATATTCCCCTTCATCATCGTCATCCTCTTCTCCAACATCTGCAAAAAAATAATAATATGCTGTATACTGTGTATATACAGCTACTCCTCGACTTACGACCACCCGGACATACGACCGCCTCGGTCGTACTAAAATTTTGTCAAATTACGTATTTTTTAGTCCCGGCGTTAGTGATTGCGCTGTGTACTGACAAAATTTTTGTTTGTAATTCCCTTTAAAATGGCTGGCAAGCTTAAAAGTGAGAGTTTTATGGTGCTGAGAAGAAAGAGACACCCATTTTTTATTTTCTATGTACGTATTATTTTCGCATTTTCGACTTACGACCTGGATTTGGTTCCTAACGCCGTCGTAAGTCGAGGAGTGGCTGTGTGTGTGTGTGTGTATATTATATATATTATATATATATAAATAAGATTGTGATCTAGTCAACTCAAGTACTGTTCAGGGTGTCTAAAACACGCACGCACGCGCACGCACACACACACACACACACACACACTGTCTTACAAACTTTCGTTGAGATCATGTATATGCTTGTACAGTACTACTGTACAGTTTTACAATAACAAAATTGTCCTCACTTGTGGGAGATCTTGCACTTTAACAAGTGAGGACATTGTTGGTTTTGTAATACAAGCATTTATGTGCTCTCCACGTAAGTCTGTAAGGCAGTGTGTACATTTGTGCAAGACACCCTGTACATACTGACAGTTCCTTCCATTAACCTGATCTCCTTTATTTTTTACTGATCAAAAGAGTCAACGCCACATACGACTTATGGCTATCTAAACTTGAGGCTTAACAACAAACTACATATAAAAAATTGCCTTTACTGCCACCAGAGGCGTATTTAACACTTCAAACTCGTCAGTGCAATTATCTGGAGCCATCGAGCAAGATCCCGAATTTCTTCTCATCAAGAGGAAAAACTATAGACAATTTGACCACATATAATTACTTTCATCAGACTGCACATCCTCGGGATCCGGATGAAGAAGCTGGCAGTCATTAAGGGCTTTGTACATGGGCTCCAACGAGAACTGGTCTGTTGGCACGAATCGAACTTCCGTCATGGCTGTTTCATCGTCTTCCTCCTCAGAATCAGATCCTTCCACTCCATTGGGTGTAACGGCTGCAGGATAAACAATTATTATATACTGTATTGTACCAAAACATGTAGAGAAAGATACATAAAATTCTTAACCCTCATTGATCATCAACATTTTTCAATATTTGTGTGGGTTAACCTTGATTGTCTGATGGCAGCTCTCCATGCTGTGCGGCCTCTTATAGGTTCTTCACTCTGACGTTATTTCTTACAACCTCTCCTCATGTCATTCTGAGTTAGCCTACTCCTCTATATCTACCGTAGATCCATGCACCTCTTGATCTAATTGGTCTCCTCCATTCTCTCCACATCCACCTCTTTGATATATACCGGGTACTGTATACTGTATATTTATACTGTATTAAAGACTCAAATAACCAATGAATAAAAACTTTGACAATCTAAACTATCTGTGAAGTTATAATAACCTTTCACTGTGAGAAATTACTTGGTAAAAAAAAAGAGGTACTGTACGATCATAAGTATCATTTATCAAAATAAGCATTACAAGACCTGATGCATATGAATAAACAAGTGACAAGGAACTCAAGTCCTGTGAGCTGCTGTTAATACACAATTTATATCAAAACTACAAATGACTATACAGTATGACTTTCTTTTACTCCACACCTACTGTACATCCCTGTGTCCAAAAATGCATGTTTACGCTCTTCACAGCTCGGCAAAAGCACCTTATAATAAAACCAGGCCTATATTAAGGTACTGCAGATATAGTATTGTAACTTACCTCAAGTGTTACAATAAAACACTTGCTAAGAGACATAGCCATCTAAAACTAAACTGTGTGCAACCATCACCACCCACCCAACACTTGGGATGAATAATTTTTATTTTCTCTGTAACTAGCAGTCTAGCATAAAAGTTTCCTTTGCTTAGTAAAAGCTGCATCACTACAGTATAGGTAAAGGCAAGAGTGAGGCACTGCACACACAAAAATGGAGAAATAACTTAGTGTGACAGTGACAGTGATTCCTAGAAGCACAGTGTATTCACAGATGGATGATAACAAATCAACTTCACTTCATTACTATCACCTCTAATCATAATTTCTAACCAATCACAATTTCTGATCCTTCTCATAACACAATCAACTGAATCAGAGGTGGGGAGAAACTGAGTAACTTTACTTTGTTCCATTCTCTCTTTCTACAAGCATGTGTGTGTGTGTGTGTGTGTGTGCTTGTGAAATGTCAAAAGACTTGCCAATATATTCCTCAATTAACTACTGTCTCCCCCCCACACACACTGGTGGATAGTACATAGCTAATGAAGTAAAATTACTGAACACATTTAGGGGTGTTGGCGATACTTTACAGCAGTAGTGTGCTTGCCTTTCACCCACATGACCTGGGTTCAATTCCCAGCTCGAGACAAAAGTGAGATGGATTTTATTCAGCGTGACAGTACCAAACAAGGCAGGTTTTCTCCAGGTACTCCAGTTTCCTCCTGTCCTAACACTGGATAATTAAGGTCATACCCAAGTAACAAAGACAAACCGACTGCATTAACAGTGGGGGAGGGAGAGAGAAAAAAAAAAAACAAGCTTTAGTAAAATATAGAATAAAAAGAAATAAAGCAAAAGACTGGGGTGAGGATAAAGACGCAACAAAACACAAGATACCTGTATACCAAGCATTACAATGGTAAAACTAATATACTGTACAGTCTTACCTTGAGAGTCCTCTAACTTGGCATCAACCATCAGATACAAACATGGATGGGCGAAGCTTGATACATCTCGGCTCACAGCATGAATGGCAATGTGAGGATACTCCAAAGAAAACCCACCGTCTGCACCATCTTTGGCCCACGACACTCTGCTGTTGAGGTTAAGACACAGCGTTAATGAATATAAACTATGAGAAAGTGCTAATTGAATCTGTGCTAAAGAAGGTCCTTATAGCTTTGTATAAACTGTACTGTAGGGAGATGCCTTCCCAACAGCAACATTTATTTTATTCTGCATGTGTCTAATTATTTGTCCCAGGTTCAATCCCCAGCCCGCATCAGATATGAGAACGGTGATATCCAGTGTGATTCTATCACAGACCAACAACACAAACAACTATTGTAAGTGGTAGAAATTATAAAAAAAAAAAAATAATCATGTAAAACAGTTTCATTAGGGTATCAGCATTAGAGCTAAGAATACTACAGATTCAAATAAAGTGAGTGATTTTAAAGCAAAGTCAGGGAAGAAGAGTGAAACATCAGAAGTAGGAACACATGGGTGATATCAGATGCTGATGCCCATAGGACCCTTTGTATCTACAGGTACAGTATAACAAATATCCTAACTTCAGGTTTTTCCTTCGCAAATCAAATAAAGACAACTTTTTTTCGTAACTCAGAAGTTTCGTCAACCAGTTTCTTAACGGACTGCCTGTAGATACCCAAATAAGCTAGGCAAGTTCAGGAGCTCCAATCTCTCAGGGTAGTTGAAGTGCTGGTACCAGTCTGGTGGCCCTCCTTTGAACATTTTCAACCAACTGACAGTCACCAGCATATCTCGGGGACCAGACGGGGTGACAGTACTCCAGGTGGGGAAGCACTTCACTAGTAACGATCTTCAAGGGTTCACTTGGAACAATCTACCAGAAAGTGTTGTGACGGCACCGAGTATGAGCTCTCTCAAGACCAGACTTGACCAACACTGGCGCAGGTTCAGGTACATGCATGCCCAGTACTTGCCAACAGTGCGTAACAGACTTATGACCGATCGCCCAAGCGGCTAACGAGCCGATCAGTGGTGAAGAGGATAAAAGAAAAAAGAAAACCACAAATTAGCCTTTTTTTTAATTACATTTTCATTTGTAACAGAAACCGCTAATTTGCACCAAAATGGCGGTCAGATTCGAGTGAAACAGACCATAAAACACACAAAAAAACCTAACCTAACCTTACCATTTTTTTGGAGCTTACCTGCTAGTGTGGTGGAGAATACAGATGCACAATCTGGTATGCATATGGTTAGATAAAAGAATTTCTGTGATTTCTTGAAAGTAAATAATTTCCACACATAGGACACCATGATCTTGTAATATTTGGATTACTTCACTATTGTTCTGATAAACTCGCTGAATAACAGCTAGATAAGGGTGAGAGCACTTTTGGCACGCCATCACGAGCCTTCAAAATGATGGGCCAACCAAGTCACATGACACGATACTTGAAGATCATTGGTTGTCATGTCGCAAAGAGAATGGGGAGAGGATGAGAGAATCAACATGACGGGTATAGAAATTAATGCCTACAAATCTGTGAGATACTCAGTCAATACTGATTTGCGCAATAAATGATACGAAGTCATATGTTTGTTTTTTATCGTCTGTAATAATGAAAATTGGAAACCTGAGGACAGCCAAAGGACGAATATTAACTGATTTGGGTAATAATTTACGACTTCACAGCCGCTGATATTCCATTAAAAACTAATTTAAAAAAAAACGCAATTTCAGTGTGTTTTATAGTGGAGACTGTCGTGGGTATGGCAAATGTGTTAAAAAGGATTTATTTAAAAGTTTAAGTTAATCTAACCTATCCTTAAACTAACCTAACCTAACATAACTTAACACCTGCAGTGGGAGAACTTACTGTGAATGAGACGGGGGGATCGGCTGTGAAGTCCTCCATATTACCCCAAATATTTATCGTATATGAAGGTAAAATCATAGTTCCAGTCATCCCTGTATTTAGATATCCAAACTAAGGTAAATTTGCATTGTCACACCGTTCACTTTTAGCAAGTAAAAAATATATTTTTCTAGTGTATTTGTGTGTGTTCAGACCAAATATTACCTTCATTTTTGGCGGAAATTAGCTGTTTTTTAGGGATTTTTTTTTCGTTTGACATTTTCCGAAAAAAAAAGTGGCTAAGAGACTAAGAAATAAAAAAAAAAAACACTAGAAAAACAAAAACCTAACCTAACCTAACTTAACTGACTCTCACCATATGATGGAATCACCTATTTCTTACCATATTGGCCTGGTTCTTGTTCGTCGTTGCATTCTGGGATTCTTACACAACGCCACATATGTTGGTCTTTGCGATATTTACATTCAGTCTTGCTCTTAGTACACTTTACTGAGGTTGGAAGAACACCATGCGATCGAAAAAATGCTATTGTTTCTACGTTTGTTTTCCAAAAACTCGCAATCAGCTCCATATACTTTAAGTGACATCCATCGCAGACTTCCATGGTCGGAACTGAACTTGAATTTCAAAATATGAGACCCCAAAATAAAACTCGATTTTGATTAGACCAAATATACTCTGAAATAAACCCAAAACCATTTTAATTGGTTCCAAAAGCAAAAACGCTTTTGATTGGCCGCGTGACGTGTACGCATGCACGTCATGATTTATGAAGGAGACGCGAGAGACACGCAGTGTTGGGTGAGAGGCAGACGATAATGGCCGGAGGTTAATGGAAATAAATAGACATTTTTTTGGAAAAGCTATCTCCGTTATTATACATTTCCGCCGGTAATGTAATAGATGAAAATTATCTTATAATTAGACGTCTTATTCAAATATGATAATAGATTAGTGGTAGGAATGAACGGTGTGTAAACGCAATAATGCCCAAACTAATCTAACCTAACCTAACCATCCTATCCTAACCTATACCTAACTTAACCGGGAAGGCAGACCCCCCCCCCCTAAGATTCCCCAGGTGAACCTAAACTAAAATAATACCTATATGAGACTATCTCTGGGTACCTGTAAATATCTGTGCATATATGAGTATTAGCAGGTGTATGCCAGTACCGTTTGAATCTGAGAGTAATAACTGCATTGTCTATATACCTGACATACATGCTGTTCTTGAGGGTAGGGGGATCCAAGTTGATCTGTGCCTATTAAGCTTAAACGGGCCCTGTATTTAACTATCTTTCTATCTACTTTACCTCTCAGCGATGTAAAGTGTTCCTGAGCCTAGAGGTCGAGCATTCATGAAGGCCTGGGTGTTGCACTGACGATGGCGGACACCTTCCTCAGGAGGCGGCAGGTTGGGCAGCAACATCTTTACCTGGCTGTCTTATGTCACTTCTCCCTCAAGGAAGTATACCCCGCTGTAGTTGATGGTGACACACGCGGCCCTTTTTGCTTTCTGTGTTTGTTGTTGAGGAAGATCAATTACTAAGAGAAGTAACATGAGGGAACCAGATGTTTGTTGTCGTTAATATTTAAGAGTTCAACCACCAGATGACACTATAGTCTTGCACCGAGTCGTCTATTATATGCATCTTACCTGTGGATAGATAGATAGATAATGTAGTGGTACATAAACCACTAGATGAAACTAAATGTGGCTTCACATCGTTATTATATATTAAAATTATGTGTGTGTGTGTGTATGTGTGTGTGTGTGTGTGTGCAAATAAATCACATCAATTATATAAACTGCAGTGAGCATAAATTTTGTTTAAATGCAGTTTGTCTTATATAATTCAAACTTTATCCTTTGATCAAGTTGTGGGGTTTATTTATTTTTATTACAGTGGGTCTGTGTCTTCAAAACGTTTGTAAACCCCTGCTGTAATAGACGCTGTAGATGAGATATTGGTGTAACACTTCAACCACTGAAATAATATTATAGTATATCGTTTAGTATTTTAGGCTATTATTCTATGGGGTTCACGTTATAATATTACTACTGAGGTAGTAGGCAGCTACCAAACAGGAAGGTACTACCAAGATAACCTACCTTGGGTACTACCGCCTGGGAAGATATTGGAAGCCGGTGCATCATGCCCAGTACTTACCAACAGTGCGTGACCGATGGCCCGGGCGGCTAGAGAGCCGATCTTTTGGTGAAGAGGATAAAAGTAAAGTAAAATAATGTACTGTCTAATGGTAGACCCTCCTGCCATATGGCATCACGAAAATTGTGACCAAGTCCCAGGTTGCAGATCTGACTTTCTGCCTCATTTACACACAATTGCAGGGTCTCAATTGTTTCTCTTACTGTTGACAACACAACATACAGTACATACTGTATATAATTTCTCACTATTGATCTTATATTAGTTTTTGTATTTCTTTATGGTTCTTTATTATTATTATTATTAGTAGTAGTAGTAGTAGTCGTAGTAGTAGTATTAGTAGTAGTAGTATAGTAGTAGTAGTAGTATTAGTAGTATTAATATTAGTATTAGTAGTAGTAGTAGTAGTATTAGTAGTATTAATATTAGTATTAGTAGTAGTAGTCGTAGTACAGTAGTATTACATTTCGCCCCCAGGCCCCGATGTGGGTCAGTGACCTGTGTCCGGGTGGGCTAATCCCCGTAAAAAATATATATATATATATATATATATATATATATATATATATATATATATATATATATATATATATATATATATATATATCTATATATATATATAATTAACCTTGTTTCACGCTTAAAGACTTGAAGCGCATAATAAAGGGTTAGTCATTCCCAACAAGATTACATATTGTGACTTTATGAGATATAATTGGCTGTATACTCCAGGTGGTCAGTGAGCACGGTACGCCCTTAGCAATACGTCAATAGTGATTTCGAGAAAATCTTGACAGGTAAGGAATGTCAGTCATAGTTTCCATGGCATCAAAACACAACTATACTGTTGGAACACACAGCCACACACACCAGGCAACACCTCCGCAACTCGTCGTCTTATACACAACAAACTATCATTACTATAGAACACTGCTTCATAATTACCTAAGAACAACAATAAAGAATAATTTGATAGAAATAAAAGTAAGGTCCCTACATGATAAGAACGACCATGACCTTCATAGTTACCGGATTGTTAGTGGCAACACACGACTACTACAGCCCTATCGACCCAGTGTGCTGTGAGCTACTGCCCATCGCGGTTAAGACAATTACAAGTACTAATGTCCGTTTTATTAGTGTGACTTCATCAATTTCTTACAGTGTGATGATCTATGTGTGAGTAATGTTTGAAAATTAACATCCAAGCTAAAGATCTACAGTGTATTGTTTGATGTTTTACTTTCTGCTCTAGGAAAACCATATTTGCGCTATTATTTGCAACATATAAACCAAATACAAAAATTTAAGGCACGTACATTGTTTTATAAGAATATATTGTATGTGAAATTCTAATTAAAGAAGCTCGATGTGTATGGATCAGCTGTGATACAACATATTCCATCATCTCCAGTAATACAATTATTCCAAGTGGTTGCAGGGATAATATATTTATTTATATATTTAATTATTACTCACCATAATTAATGTACGCATCATATGTGTGTTGGAAGACGCTATTACCATAATAAAGGATCACTGCAACAAGTAGAAGGTAAGTAGAATTTTTGTAGCATGTGCACTTATCAAAGACCTATGCAATGATAACTCGCGCTTATCTTACTAATCATCCGGGTTCGAGGTGAAAATCATTTACATTTACAGAATACCTTATTATCCAGTAAAGATAAGAGGATATCATGTATGTTGGGGTCGTGTCATATGAACCCATCAGTGTTGTCACGTTTGCTTGTCCTTTCACTATTTTTAATCGATTTCTAATTTCGCTTTTAGGAGGAAAATAAAAAAAAAAATATTCAAATGGATTTTGGATAACAAGTTTAGGTGAAAAGTGTGCAAGGTAGTGTAAGATCACTTAGATTCTAACCTTCACTGCTGTCATTTCGTCCAGTCATACAGATAGTTCTATCTTTCTTTCTTTTTTTAATGTTGTACTAACCTTGTTACACACTTAAAAGACCTCCGTTGTTGAAGTGCATTAATAACATTATACAACAATACCGTCCAGTCATCAGTGTTGTGGTGCAGAATGGTGATGGGCGGGTGTGGGTATCTAACATGAGTGTTGCCCCTGCCTACACCCGCACAGTAGTCCACGTTAGAAAAGACAGACGCGAGCCTTTCCAGCCAGCGGAGTTCGGCTTGTGTCTGCTCGATTACTTCGACATCTATGACGATTTTGGCAGAGTGGAATGTTATATTAACGATAATATCGTTTACCTCCAGCCTCCCCCTTCACCACCCCAGGGGAGGCACACTCACACTTCCGGGGGACAAGATGATCAACACATGGCGTTTAGGTTTCAGGTAAGAAGCACTATCACCTCTCTCACCACTTCCACCATAAATATAAACATCTTCCACACTTGCCTAATGTGATTTTCTACTGCGAGAATCACAGATGACCTTGATATTGTTGTTCTCGAAGCTGTTGCGTATGATAATCAAACGAAATATAAGATATATGGGTAGATGGATTGTTACCATCACTAAATTTCAGGTTAGTTAGAGGTCTTACCATTGTTTCCTGATAATAATGATGTTGGGTAGTATGGGTACCGTCCCTTTACTTTCACTTTTCTGGTAAGAGTTTATAAATGACAGGGTTTTATTCTGTAACTCAACTGGGTGATTTAGTTTATTACACACACCTAGTTTTGTGCACTATACAGTAATACCCCGCTTTACACGTTTTTTTTTTACTCGTTTCTACATTTACGCGGTACCCCGCCAGAACCGGAATGTTCACTTTACGCGGTGCATCTACTCATATACGCGGGAAGCGGCGCGAGCAGGGTGCGCACAAGGTCGCCCAGTCATCAAAACATTACCGAGTTCTTCACCCGCCACCCACCACAGCCGGCCCAAGTCAGTGATAGTGATAGTGAGGATATGGACTTATATGGACTTTGAGGGGTTTGACAAAGAGGCCCTGCAAGCCTCTGTGGTGGATAGTGATACAATTGATACAAGTGATTCAGCTGAGGGCCAATAATCTACCCTCTGCCTCGGAACCAACCCCCCATCCCCGTGTGCCCAGTCATCTTTTCTACTAATGTAAGTGTTAAAAAACCTAATATTATTGATATTTCTCTTAATTATTAATTGTGTGTGCATACCATCATAAAATTAAGAAGATATTTTTACTATAACGTAAGTATTGTGTCTGAAAAAGTGGAGTTTGGGGGTCGGCCCGGTCTCTATTTCAATTATATCCCATATGTTCTGTTGCTCACTTTACGAGGGCCTTCGTGGGTTCAATTGACCGCGTAAAGCGAGGTATTACTGTATATAAAAATGAGGAAGATGTTATATAGGGGGTCTTCTTATCAAAGCTTAACAGTGATGTGCGTGGGTAGAGAGCTGTGTAGGATGTCTGGGGCGCGAGCCGTGCGAACAGACAGCTCGGCAATTTAGAAGTCAAGAGTGACCTTTTTGGCCAAGCATAGGGCATGAGTTACATTATAATATATGAATAAAATGTGTAAGGTGTAGCTAGTGTTTTTGTTTTTTTAGTATATAAACTTAAAGAGGTGCTTATGTGTTACTATTATGATATTTATTCAGTAAAGTCGTCATACACGTTTACAATTGGTTTGGCATATACTTTATATAGACAATGTTGGACGTTATATAAAACACTATCACAAGAACCAGATGATATAAGAAGTCTAATCCGAAATACACAACGTTTTTGTAAGTGTTTTTATGACAAAGTATTTGAAAAACTTTCGGTTATCTTTTTTTATCATTCTAAGCCTTTTGAATGTTCAGAAGCAAGTTATCTTATCTATTCCATGTGGTTTCTTACCTGGCACTGTATCTCTTGCAGCACCCACCCTTCTGCGTTGCCCACAAAATCAAAGCGGATGAGAAGGCAGCGCTGCCCCCGGAGATCCTGGGTCGTGGTGTGGACGTGGGCGTGTGTATCATACTGGAGACTGCTGACGATCGCCTCCTTATGACTCGCCGTGCCCCACATATGAGAACCTTCCCTGGCGTGTGGGTCCCTCCCGGCGGCCACGTTGGTGAGTCACGGGCCCTCAAAAGGGACATGGGAGAGGCAGAAACCTTCAGAAGGGAAGTGGAGGAGTCTCATTCTTCCTCGGCGTAATTATGGAATAGTGATAACTGATGATATTTCAGTATAATCACTAAGGAGAGTTTGTTACTGTTGAGGGTGTCAGAACATCAAGTAATACAAGTGTCTGACCGGAAGGTGTTAATTTCATAGTTGTTCCAAAACTTCCATATTTTTTACCACAAGTGGATAAGATCAGTAATATTTATTATAAAGCCCGGCCGTATTCAATAATATGATGGACACACGATGAAGTTAATATAAGTAGTCGGTACCCTACAGTAAATAGTGTATGATACAATACAACTTGGAGAGGTAAGATTATACAACATACCCCTTCAACTACATTGACCTCAGCCAGAAAACTGAAATCTGCCTGCAAATCTGCAGAGTCAGATGTCCCAGCAGGGTGAGCCATAGCAACTGGACACGTTGTGCTGACCTAAAACGCCAGGGTCCCTTCTTCCTGCTTCTCTTGGCGCTGTACACGTGATTAACCATCATACGATGTGCAGCTTAAAAATTATCTCAGGACATAAATAAGTCGACAGTATCAGTTAATTTCACCAAGCAATAAGAGTTAGAAAACTTGTCAGGGAAATTCCTTGAGTTTGGTAGAATTCCCATATAATAGATCTGCTGTTCATCACATGATTGTCAGCTATCTGTAAGATTTGCTGCATAAGCTATCAACTAATCATTTTACCTGTCTAAATTTCCATCATTTCTCTTTTCAATCTTTTTATCTGTCTAATGTACCATACTTTAAATTTGTCTTTTATTTATTCCATTCTGCAGAAAAAACGTTTATATTTGTTCTAATCTTGTTTGTATGTGAGATGATCGTCGACTATCTGTCAGGGTTATTGTATGACGCTATCATTAGTACAACCCTTTCCCCTGTCTAATCTTCTGTAATCAAATCTTTTCTCCCTTTAACCATGATGCGAGACAGAGGAGGGAGAGACGCTCGAGACTGCAGGACTGCGGGAGGTGCTGGAAGAGACGGGTCTGTTGGTGTCGCCGGAAGAAGGGGAGGCGGGGTGTCGAATGCTCGGACTGTGGGAGTCACTCTACCCCCCTGTACTGTACATGGGGAAGCCTAAGAGGCACCACCTAGTCGTCTACCTTCACCTACAGGTGTCCCTCACTAGCTATGAGCTGCAACAGAGGCTCAAGGTACGTCTAGGGAGGTTAAAGGCAAAATTCACGAGTGTGTGGGCATGAGATGAGCTAATTGGTCCTCAGTTACCATGACATTGTGTCCATTGCAATGCTGCATGCACTCTTGTTACTGTCCTCTGGATTGCAATACTTTTTGACTGCTCAATAAATCAATATTGGGGTCAGAGGAAGAACGGACAGAGATAAAATCAATATGTGCCCTGAGTATGCAGCAGGGACATCAAAACAGTGAAAGAGAGAGAAATAGATAGAATGATCAATAAGTACGGTTATACATTTTCAGTTGGACAGTAGCGAGGTAGACGCCTGTCTGTGGTTGACCAAGGAAATGGCGGAGCTGGTGGTGTTTGGGTCTTCCAGGAGAGCCAGTCAAGACATACCCATCACCCTCATCAACAGAGAAGGAGGTAGGTTACTGTCTCATTAACTATTAATTTTAATTAATGAGCACGTAATTCCTCATACAGTCTTCACACGAGCACTGTCCCATTACTGTACATCCCTTTACAGTTGTTAAATTAGGTTTGGTTAGAGAGTTTTATCTCATAATTTCTTAATGTTGTTGGACTAGTGTACAGTATTACTAACCTTGTTACGCGCTTAAAGACTTCGTTGTTGAAGCTCAGTAATAACATTATAACAAGTACAATATTACTAATTGAACCATGAGCTGAGTTTCTAGGCAGCAGTAAACACAAGAAGTTCCATACTGAAATATTATATCAATAAATGCTGAATGAGCACCTGCAAATTTTAAGATAAGCCCTTCCTAGCAACTGAGCCCCTTCAAACTTTAAGTTAAGCTCTTCCTGAACATTAAGCACCTCCAAACTGAAAAGGGGTTTCTCTCTCTCACACACACAGAACAATCGATGGGCATCCTCAATCCAAAGACACTAACGAAGAAGATGCCCGAGCCAGGTTTCGAGGTGGAGCGCCTTACTACTGGCACGAGGTCAGGTCAGCATGGTCACTCGTGTCAGATAAGGTCACTGTTTCGTTGATTATGTTACGTCATTAATATCAATGTTTCGATGTGACAGGTCAATAATATTTTTATTGCAGGGTAGATATGTTAAGTCACTGTCAAATCTTTAATGTGCCATGCCACCAAGTATCAATAATTAGAAGTGCCATGCCACTAAGTATCAATAATTAGATGTGCCATGCCACTAAGTATCAATAATTAGAAGTGCCATGCCACTAAGTATCAATAATTAGATGTGCCATGCCACTAAGTATCAATAATTAGAAGTGCCATGCCACTAAGTATCAATAATTAGAAGTGCCATGCCACTAAGTATCAATAATTAGAAGTGCCATGCCACTAAGTATCAATAATTAGAAGTGCCATGCCACTAAGTATCAATAATTAGATGTGCCATGCCACTAAGTATCAATAATTAGAAGTGCCATGCCACTAAGTATCAATAATTAGAAGTGCCATGCCACTAAGTATCAATAATTAGAAGTGCCATGCCACTAAGTATCAATAATTAGAAGTGCCATGCCACTAAGTATCAATAATTAGATGCCATGCCACTAAGTATCAATAATTAGAAGTGCCATGCCACTAAGTATCAATAATTAGAAGTGCCATGCCACTAAGTATCAATAATTAGAAGTGCCATGCCACTAAGTATCAATAATTAGAAGTGCCATGCCACTAAGTATCAATAATTAGATGTGCCATGCCACTAAGTATCAATAATTAGAAGTGCCATGCCACTATGTATCAATTTCTTATTTGTACAATATCTCGCTGGCTCTCTGACTGTTCATGAAGTAGTCTATGCAATTTAGATACATAACAATAACTGACATACGTGACTCTTATGTGACTATAGCCACACTATGTAAATTATTCTCACTAGCAGGTATGCATTGAAATTGTGGTTGCAGCAGCATTACATGGGAGGGAGACAAAGTGGCCGTCAGCTCCTCGGCCAAACCAGGATAAATCAGGTCAAGATGGGGCGACATGAATCTCCACTATACACTCAAGGCCAACATCGACTATATACCTCTGAACCTGCCACCACCCACCCCACTAACACCCACCACTAGCTACTGCAGGTCATAACTACCATCATCCTGTAGCTGCTGTAGGTCATGCCTACCATCACCCTGTAGTTGAAGAATATTCATGTATGGGCTGAGAGTTAATGCAGTAAACACAGAAGTAATGGTGATTTCCAAAGCAAAAGTAAACCCTAAATTCAATTTTATATTAGGTAACAGGTATTTAAATGGCTGGAAAATATTGTTTATTTGGGGAATAAAGAGAAGAGTAGCTCAAGCAAAATATGCATTTGAGAATCATAGAGAGCTGTTGAAAGGAGCCATAATTATTAGTTTGAGGAAAAAGATTTGATGTTATGAATGACCAGTACTATTAAATACTGTACAGGTCAGAAGTGTGGACACTTTCAGCACTTTGACTGATTCGTGTATTTCTCCAATAAAAACTTGTGGTCCTTTATTTCTCTTTTCCACTGTTAAAATGTAATACAAGGTCCTCTCAAGTACAGGCAGTCCCCGACTTACGATGGGGTTAGGGACCCAAATCCAGGGCGAAAGTCGAATTGGTGGCAAGTTGAAAATGCTTAAATAATACATAGAAAATCTAAAATGGGTGTCTTTTTTTCTTCTCAGCACCACAAAACTCTCAATTTTAAGCTTGCCAGCCATTTTAAAGGGGATTACAAACGAAAATCTTGTCAGTACACAGCGCAATCACTAACGTTGAGACTCGAAAATACGTAATTTGACAAAATTTTGGTACAACTGAGGCGGTCGTATGTCCGGGTGGTCGAAAGTCAAGTGGGTCCTAAGTCGAGGAGTTCCTGTTCTGTATACTTTATGTATTAAAGGATGTTACACATGCAGTATCAGCGGATAATCCTTTTATGATTATCCTTTTTATGGTTGTGTAATATGTGCTTCTGTAATATAAATACAGTAGTACTTTATTAAAAAAAATTACATTATAAATGTAATATTTTAAGTTAATTATTGACAACATACTCGTGAATTTATTATGAAAAATTTATTTAAAAATGCCCCATTTTCACTGTTTTGCAGTGATCACTTGTAGTTTGGGCAAATGTGTTAAAATAGTGTTACTGTATTTCTAAATTAAGCCTTACCTAATCTTAGTCGATAAGAAATGCAAGCAGCTGAAGCATTGTTAGCAGACCACACCAATCTAACCAAGGAAACCCATTTAACCTTATCCAACTTCCTAGCAAGGGGGGGGTGGGGGACTCTGCCCCCTCCCATAAACATAGAACCCTTATAGGTCTGTAACTGCATGTCAGAATCATGGTTGTCACTAATGACATGTGTCCACCTTCCTCCATGAAGGTCTCCTTGCCTAACATTATATGCAGGTGTCTCATCTCTTATTGGTTTAGTATTGTAGATATGAGCTTAGCTTCATCTTCCATCTGGATATATATACAGTGACCCCTCCGTTAACAAACTCAATCCGTTCCAGAAGGTCGTTCGTTAACCGAAACCATTGTTTCAATGGGTTTTTGGGTAATTGGTTCCAGCTCACCGAAAATTTCCTAAATTCAACAAAAATGGTAGAAAAGTTCACTTACTTTGAGGTGTGTATGTAGAAGGCTCCTGGATGATGATGATGATGATGATGGGATTTAGAATGGGGGTGGAGGAGAAGGAAGAAGAGAAGGCATTGGGGTGGAAGAGAAGTCACCCCATGGTGCCATTTCACCCATAAAATTTTAGCTCTCTGGTGTAATTCAAGATTATTTTCTTTAAATCAACATTGCACTGCATTATATATTGTCAATATGTAAAATATATTTCAAAATGACCAATAATTTGCTTGGAAACACAGAAAAAAAGCATTTAGTTGAAGAGAGTCTCAAGCAAGATGTTACCTCCAGTGAAAACAGAGAGACTAACGCCTGTTTGCTGTGTTAAGAGGCTGGATGCCGCGCATTAAACTAGTCACTTTACTTCAATTATGTTCAATAATTGTTAAAATGACTAAAAAATTTAATATTAAACTTTTAAAATTATTGAATAGTATAAACTTCTTGATATTTACTAAAATAGTAAGGAATTTAAGCCCTAAAACCGATTACTGTATTGGCGGACTGATACTAAAGCTGGTTGCCCGGTCAGTGCAAGCGAAAACATGTTGAGGTCGGTTTGTAAGAACTTCGTTAACCGAATTTTTTTTCGTTAACCGAATTGAAGATCCTTATGGAAGGCAGTTCGTTAATCGAAATTACGTTAACCGAGGTGTTCGTTAAACGAGGGGTCACTGTAATTCACAGAAGAGGATAAAAAAAAACACCAGTAAAAGTATCACAGAATTTAATTGATAAGTAAAAATAAACCTCGTCAAATATGGATACGTATATCAATCATACTTATAATAATTGAAGTTACAGTATTTGATTAAAAATTAAAACACCAACTCATCTAATGTTATACAGTACCGTATTTTTATTGCAATTCTATTAGCCGACCTGATATTCAGGACATTTAGAAATGAGGAATAACATATTTTAGTGACAAACATTAACTGAAGAAAATTAAGTGGGAGTGTTTTAGATATAACACTATATACACAGCATGAAAGACAACATCATCCATATACATTAAACATCCTCTTTGGTACATGAAGCTGACGATATGTAAACTTATGACAAGATGGAATACATAATATTGCTTAGTTGCAAGCTCTGTGAATCAACATATACAGGAATGATATTTATGTGTCTGTATGTAATTCTGACTCGGCATATCTTCAGTAATCCTTGAAAAGTCAATCTATTTCAACCAAGTAGACAAAATATTTAAATATTAAAAACTACATGACACATTTTCAATATGTGAGCATCTATGGCCATCAGTACAAGCATATATGTACTTACATATACTGTATATATATAAACAAGTGAAATAAAATTTTACATTAAGTGGACGGTGAAAATAAACTTAGTCCTCAAGGATAGACATTAACTATTATTGCCAACTGTACTGTTGGGTAAATGAGGGTCTTGTTTCCTTATCCACTTAAGACACTTATCCAACAAATGCCACAAAATAATGATATTGCAGCTGATCACCATAAATATAAATTCAGTTTTTCATCCATCTAACGACCAAAACGAGTGTTGGTGGTACAACAATAATGAGAGCATTACACATTGTGCCCAACTTCAATCCCCAACCTGGGACAGATGTGAGAAAGGTGTTATCTAGTGTGACATTACAAACATGGCAGGTTTTCTCTGGGTACCAACTGCCTGAATGGCTAGTAAGCTGTAAAGTGGTAAAATGATATGAAAAAAAAAAGGTATTTTGCAGGTTGCGTCGCCATAAACAAATTCTAGAGATTTTCCAAAAATCAAAGATTGATATAGTATTTACAATGAAAATAAAATAAACTTGCCAACAGTCCATAACAGAGACGTGACCGATCGCCCAAGCAGCTAACAAGCCGATCAGTGGTGAAGAGGATAAAACGAAAATATCATTTAAGTTTAAGTCTGTTCTTTGGCTTAAATGTGAGACCAAATATTGCAAAGGAAGTTTGAACATGTTTTCAGACTACAGGTACAACAGGAGCAGGCTGACTGTATTATATCAAACTTTAATAAAATCTAACTTCAGGGTTGACCCCTTTCAATTCTATACATGTTGATGCAGTACAGTATTACCTATCGAGACCCATCCTGTGTGTTAGTGTAAAAATGTATCGCTTTTGAGTTACTCATACTGTATAACACAGTAGTAATGGTAACATAAAACTTAGCTACAAGCTGGGATAGGACAAATTTAATTTTACGATAATGATGTGCAGAAACTGATCAAAAGTTTCTTATTTACCGGTATATGCAGTTAATATACTTGACCTGACCATCTAGGCTTGTGAAAATGAAAAAAAAAATATATATATATATATATATTATCCTAGTGTATTGCATTTTAATGACCTTTGACAGTGAGGCAACTGTTAATGTCAATCCCTGGTCCTCTGTCAGTATACAGGTATTTAATGATGAGTAGCTGAATGTACATAAGAAATTTATGTGATTAAGCATTCCAAGACTGACATATCATTCACATTTATTTTGTAGTTTAAGTGAATAAAAATGTACAAAAGCCGAGTGAAATATTGATAAACAATAACAATAGCAGTAATTTAAGAAAAACACATCTTAAGTGTTAAATACATACTCGATTCCAAGTGACAGCAAAGTAGTAAGTAGCATAGATAAAGTAAGTTAAAACTATGATATACAAAACAAGAGTTAGAAGTAATGATGTGTTTTAGTATTGTAGTCATAGCAAAGTTGTAAAGAACAGACCAACCATCCGAATGGCCAGTAAGCTGATAAGTGGTGAAATGATACAAAGTAAGTAATGATGTGTTTAAGTAGTGATGCACTTAAGTAGTAAGCTGTTTAAGCAGTGATGCATTTAAGTAGTGATGCATTTAAATAGTGATTGTTTAAGTAGTGATGTGTTAAAGTAGTGATGCATTAAATAATGATGTGTAAGTAGTGATGTGTTTAAGTAGTGATGCATTTAAGTAGTGATGTATTTAAATAGTGATGTGTTGAAGTCAGCCGTTAAGAGTGGATCTTGGCGGGAGTGTTAGGACCATACACAGACATCATATAGAGGGAGAAACATCACAACAGCAGATGGGAATTCTGTAAATCACACACACCCACAAAGGAACAAGAGATTACAGTATTTGATATGCTTCATGAACAAGTGAATGATGATGCTTTTCTGTATGGCAAATAATTAATTATTCTTAGGGTTAAAAAAAAAAAATATCGAAGCCTAAAATACTCCAGATTCTATTTACAACAGACTTCTAATACAATAAGATCAGAAAATACAAATCATGGGACCCTGCAACACGGTGTACAGTGGATGAGGCACATGAACAACTACCATGGATGAGGCACATGAACAACTACCATGGATGACAGAGAGCACGTGACAACAGTTGGAGGAAGATTATTGTAGCAAACACCAACGAACAAAGAGATGTGTAGCAATATTGGATGAAGTATAAAGAAAAAAGTTACATGTTTTGAGAAAATTATGTCATGAAGCTTAAAAAAAATGGATCTTATATATCATTCATTAAATTTTCTCTTTGAAGTCATTGCTCATTAGTTACAATCTCATACTATGCATTGCTTCCATACCTCTGCATTATATGACTAGCTTCCAATGATTTTGTAATGATATATGAACCCCCAAACTTTCACATTCCATAAGATATACATACAACATTTAACACTATCCCTGCATTGGATATCTTACACAAATGACAGGAAATATTGTACATTTTATACATAGCAAAGACTGGTTGTACAAACATGATCTGCCCAATAACATGCATGAAGAGGTTTCACGTTAGCAGGTTACATTTACAAGTTTGAATGTCCGACCCCATACACGTTAACATTGAGATATGCATGTACAACCCTTCCTACACATATCAGTAGCCTAATAATTTAAAAACCAGTTTAAACATTAAATTTATACAATACTTAATGGAGATCCTATGTGAAGAAACCATTCATGCATTCTGTCTAATTTCTAAAGCCTGTCTCACCAAAGGTATCACCATGAAAAAAAAAAAAAAAAAATCTACCATGCTTGCAGCCTCTCCATCAAAAATAGTGATGTTTACCATAAATT